AAGAAGAAGAAGAAGAAGAAGAAGAAGAAGAAGAAGAAGAAGAAGAAAGGGAAAACCAAGACATTTTAATGCTTAAGGCAGTTTAACAAAGGATACCCTTTTCCTCTTTGCAGGTAAAGATATGTTAACCTCAGGGTCAGTTCTTTCAGCATGAATAGTGCCCAAGATAGAAAACTATACAATCACTCCAACTTCTTTCTGAAATGAAAAATAAGTAATAATGTATTGTCCTTTCATGACACTAAGATGACCATTTCATTTTTCTAATGAGAGTATATTGAATAGTTGCTGATTTCTTTCTTTTCTTAAACCATTGTTATGGAAATTAATCCCTGGACAGTTAGTACTATATAAATCCTCCATATTATACCCAGATATTTTGCTGGAAATAAAAATATTAGAAGTCTGTGTTCATAAGAAGTTAGCTAGAAGTAGGAAACATACTTATTGTTGTTGTTGCTATTTATTTAATTAAAGATTTAGAAGAACTTAAAGAACTACAGGAACAGGGAGCATTAACATATGTTTCCATAGCACATTGCTATTCATTAATATCATACTGCTTGGAGATGAAAAAATCTAGTATTCCCTTTCCTTATTTCCTTTTATACTAAATAATCTATCCACAAAAATACTTTGGATCTTCTATCAGATTAGATCACCCAATAAAGCATTAAAAAATAACATATAATTATGTGAAGCATTCTATGCTCAGAAGCATAAACAGAAACCAAACAGAAGATTTGGGTACTGTTTATTTAATGGCAGAATGCAGGAAAAATAACTAGAATAAAATTAATAATTACTCAAACAATGTGAGCTACAATGAAGAATATTCTAGCTGCTAATAATAGAGTGGCTTCAAAATTGATTCTAAAACAAAATAGCAATCAAATAGAACTTTGCAACATTTCTAGAATATTCATTGCTACAGTAGACTAGTTGAAAAGTTATATCCTTCCTGCCTGACTACTGGGAGGGTTGGCAAGCAGTGGAATTATTCAATATATAGTAGGTATCAGATAAGGAAAATACTTAATCATGCCTTCTGGACAAGGGTAAAGGCAATTCCGTGAGGAATTATTTTATCTCTTTTTTAAAACTATTGAGGGACAAAGTCTTGCAAAGAGAAAACTCTTCTATGGGGAAGAGACAAGATATTTAAGAAGTAATTGAAAGAAATAAAATAAGTTTTGAATAGATCACTTTTATAGTATTGTTATGTAGTAATTATAGCATTGTTATGTGGTATTAGCTCTACACTGGCTTTCTTAAAACCAAGGGAATTAAATATAATGTGTAGAGGATGGCTCATTTTCTAGAACACTACAAATTATCTTAAAAATTATGAATTCTGATTTTTAAAATTACTGATATGACAAGTAAACAGAATGACAATGTATCAGTGTATAACTTTATTCAATGTTCAAGGATAGTAAAATAGAGAATAAAGAAGCATTTTCTCTAAATTAAAGAGTGCTTATATAAAATAGGTTCTCCCAAAGTTACTGAAACTCAAAAATTCAGTGTATAGATGTAAATGCACCTGGTCTTTGTTGGGAAATCAAAGCCAGGACCATCTTAAAAGCAGACACAATGCATTACCATGCAATAATATGACAAACACTGTTCCCTTGCAGCTGTTTCTAATACATAGCCCATTGTCCTTATCTTAATTAGGAACTCATCCTTTGTAATTCCATCTCCTTATTTCTGAGAAAGAGTTGATCAAGCATCCTATTGTTTTTTTTTAAGTATTTTTCCCAAATCAGCTACCCCATTGTTTTTTCACATCCTTCATTACATTATTATTCATCAATGCATGAAACTAATATCTAGAAATGGGACCAAGCTCCCAGATAAAAGCATCTTTAGAACCACTCAGCAAGAAAGAGGCAGCATGCAGATAGTGAAAATAAAACAAGAGACTAAAAATAACAAGAAGGAAAATGCACAATTGTTTGGTTTAATGACCACATGGAACAGGTGCAAATTAGCATTATTCTGTAGGCATGCTTTGCTGCTTAAGCCAATAAGAAAACCATTGTTCCCATCAATCCAAAAGTTTCATGTCATTATCCAATCGATTAATGTTTGAAATCTGCTTGCTTAATGAGATATTTTTATGTGACAGAATACTAGAATGTTTAATATACATCAGAGTAACTTTGAATGATTTGTCCATGAAATATGAATGGTGTTTTTATAGTGTGCAATAAAGCAACAAAAATAATGATAGGCTGAAAACAAAGATTGAAGATCATTAGATATACAAGGGCATAAAACTAAATAGTTGCCATTATGTGGTAGCATGAAGGCTTCCACATTTTTAATTACATGTATAGGATAAAATATATTTTTCTATCAAACTAATTCTAAAGCACTATGGAATTATTAACTGTTTACCTAAGTATATTACTTCATATACTTCCCTCAGCAATTATTTATGGGAAATATAGGAAATGCTGATTTACAATAATTAATTCTAGAAGAAGTGCAGAGAAGAGCAATAAAGATGATTAGGGGACTGGGGGCTAAAATGTATGAAGAATGTTTGCAGGAATTGGGTATGTCTAGTCTAATGAAAAGAAGAACTAAGACATGATGGCAGTGTTCCAATATCTCAGGGATGCCACAAAGAAGGGGGATTCAAGCTATTCTCCAAAGCATCTGAGGGCAGGACAAGAAGCAATGGATAGAAACTAACCAAGGAGAGAAACCACTTAGAACTAAGGATAAATTTCCTGACAGTTAGAACAATTAATCAGTGGAACAACTTGCCTCCAGAAGTTGTGAATGCTCCAAAACTGGAAGTTTTTAAGATGAGATTGGATAACCGTTTGTCTAAAGTGGTGTAGGATTTCCTGCCTAGGCAGGGAGTTGGACTAGAAGACCTCCAAGCCCTTACAACTCTGTTATTCTATTCTATTCTATTCTATTCTATTCTATTCTATTCTATTCTATTCTATTCTATTCTATTCTATTCTATTTCTATAATGTTGCATTTTAGATGATGCATAGACAAGAAAATGCTGTATTAGGAATTCAGTTAGTTTTTCCCACCCATCAGGTTGAGCCATGATCAACTGATACATAAAATTAACTTTATGGACATTATTATGAATCTAACAGTAGGCCTATAACTGCTAACATATAAATGGAATGTAAAAGTTACATCAACTTAATGGGGATGATAATTTTAATTTTAATTTATCTGTTCCTTGTGCACATGTGATACTTATGCCTCTAACTTCTATTCAGAACATAGTATAAAATATACAACATTATATAAAGACATGTTATAGGAGAAAACAGCATGTGTTCAGATCTATCTGGCAGAGGAAACCTATAAGGGAATTAAATTCAGCATTCATCCAAATGAAATATTCACCCAATAAAGTTTATATGAAACCAACTGCTCATTCCCTTTTCAAAAAGCAAGAATTATAAGGCCAAAGGGAATAATTCACTACAACATTGGGGAAAGAGGATAGCCATGGGGAAACAACAGAACTCCACTCATTCCAATATTCCAAAATCACATAACATCATTATGAGTGTTCTATACATCATCCCAGAGAATATTTCCCTTTCACATGAAGAGCTTGGGTGGCCAGCATCTGCATACTAATAGACATTACTTGTCTCCCTATTTGGCAATCACCAATTCTTAGGCATGCATAGCAGAGCTACTGGTTGCTGCAAAGAGTTCAGTTTTTTAATTTAATCCTATATCAACACAAGCGGACACTGCCAAATACCATTCCAAAGCAAACAAAGCATCTACAGACTAACAAAGAACATTATACATTTCAGAGTTATATTGTAAACATAAAAGCAATTCTTCATATCATTGTAAAAGAGATGGCTTTTGATCTCTGAACATGTGGAACCTTTTTAGTCCCAATGCAGTTGCTGGAACAGTTTAACTATTCACTATTATTCTCATTGCCATCTATGTGGGAGATTGTAATGTATTTGGGATTCCATTCAATTAAAGTGAGGGATATAGAACTTGGACATCAATTTGGCAACTTTGGGTGCCCTAATCCTCTTGTCTTTATTCAATAATGGATTGTGGACATAATCCAAAGCTACGTTTTAGCTACTAATATCAACTTTAGTTTCATATTTGTTTTTTAGTCAGAACATGTTAGAAAATTTAAATAAAAAAATAAAATAAAAGGGAAAAACTTTCGATTTGAAGGGCTTTGGCAACAGACAGAAATCCACGATCATGCATGGTTTCTGTCTGGGCTCACCACTGGAGCACCCTGAGCCGGCTGGTTTGGGGGCTAAGCCACCCCGTAGAGGTGATGAAGAGGGGGGAGACCTCCACCAGGGTCGAGGAGAGCTGCATCTCTCCTCCTCAGCTGGCCTTACTCCCTTTCCCGAAGGCAGTTGCAGCAGTGGTCAGAAATGGCCACCACAAAGAAGAATTTGACCGGAAAAGAATATGCAGGAGAAAGATAAGAAGTGAAAGTTTTGGCTGACCGGGTTAAATTGTAAAAGCAACAACCAAGGTACCCTGGAATTTAAACTTACAAAAAATATCATTGCTCCCAAAGAAGAGTTGGAAGCAGCGAAGGAAAGTGAAAAGGGAAAGTTTGGATTTTCTTCTTCTTCTCTCTCCTTCCCTATACTGACAACTAAGAGACTTAAATAAGAAATTGGAAAAATCTGCTTTGACATCAATAGGCAATTAAGCTGAAAATAAAACAAAATGCCAAAGGGATAATAAAGATTTCTGGACATTAAAAACTTTCTTTTTCATAAGCAGGAAGGGAGAGTAAAAGAATAAGAGCAGGATCTGGAAGAGGGAGGAGACTGCCTGGAATTAAAAAGAATCTAAAGTAAAACTTCAACAAGACTTCTAAAAGATACATTTTAACTGAAACTTTGCAACTAAATAGTAACCCCAGGAAGAGAAAGTGAAAAAAAAGAGCAAAAAAGAAACAGCTTGCGTGTATTTGGATTATTTCATGATCTTTGGATTTTTGGCTATTATATTTGAATGACTAAAATCAATCGGATGGTTGTTTAAAAATTTATATAATGGCACCGCTTCTGGATGAATTGAAAATGGAACTTAAAAAGTACAAAGAAGATGCACAAGAAGGGAAGGGTTCTTTTGGCTTCATTTTTCAATTCTTAGAAATGGAGATTTGGAACTATGAGAAACAACAAGAAAAGACTGCAAAACAGGAAGACTGGGACAAAAAAGAAGTCATCTTTAATGAACAAGTAATTCTATGTGGGGAAGAAAAAGGAAAGGGAGGGGAAGAGAATGGAGAATTTAAGTCTTAAAAAACAACCAAACAAAAGAAAAATAATTTGAAAAATAAGTATAATACTGGAAAGCAACAGAAGAGGAAAATACAGAAGAGAGAAATAGAGGTAGAGAGACCAGGGGGTAAAAAGGGGAGAGAGAAGAAGAGAGGGAAGAAGGAAAGGAAAAGAAGTTACAAAGGACCGGAGCAAGATATAGAGAAACAGGACCTATTTAGAGATAATGGGTGAAAATCTAACTGAAAAAGGGATTCTGTAAAGGTACATAAGATTGTATTGTTATATTAGTAATAGAAATAACTTTAGAAAATTGGAAACAACGTATGATTAAAATGAGGGATAAAATAGTTAGTATAATTTAGTGAAATGTTTGTGAATAAAATAAGTGAAATAAAATAAATGAGAAAATTGAATTAGGAAGGAACGGGAACATTTTAATTAGTTAATGTTTTATAAAATATAAGTGAAGGGGGGATTTAACTATGGAAAGCTTATAATTGTTCTCATAGAAGTATGATATTTAATTGAAAACTAATGTTAAAGATGTTAAGACTTTAATGAATATTAATATTAATGATAGAATTGAATTGGAATGGAATGTTGTTTTAATTATATACATTTATATTTTTTTCTTTTTTTAAGAATACAGTGTGTATTTTAAGAATGTACCAAGCAGCATCCGAATGAAAGTTATGTATTATATTGAATGTTACAACTTTAGGGAAAAGATATAAAGGCATCATACTCCAATCAGTAACTACAGGAGAAATTTTGTTTAATGAGAAAAGATAATAGATAATTGAAACAGGACAGACAAAAAATATAAATACAATGATTTGAATTGAGATGAGATAATTAAAATAAAATTGAGAAAAGAGGGGAGAAGCTATGCAGAAAATGTAAAATAGTAATAGGATATGGAATAGAATATAAAAATGAGCATGAACCTGAATTTGTGTCTGTACGAAAAAATGTAACCAGGGATTATGCTGCTTTCAGAAAAGATGTTTTATTTGTATTTTTTTTCTCTTTGTGAAAACTCAAATAAAATTTACAAAAAAATAAAATAAAGGGATTAAATAGAGTGGCAAGCAGTGAAGTTGAAGAGTAGCCTCACTACTTTTCCATATGATAAATTAATGTTTTGTAATTGATTATGCCTTTTTAAAATCCATAACATGCTCTCAAAATCCCATTTTTGCACTTTCTCTGAGCAGACTCTATTCAGTTTCCAATACAACAGTTACAACTATTCATTTAATGATGGTCCAAATTTACAATAGCATCAGAAATGGTGTTTTACAGTGTGTAAAACATTTCTGCCAGTTCAAAAATATTGATACCCTTTGCCATGGTCACACAATTGCAATTTGGTTGCTTGGCAACTGCCTCACATTTATGATTTAATGCAATGTCCTATGGTCACATATCATAATTTGTGAAGTTTTTGGCAGTTTTTAACATTTTTTTTGTCCTTAGAGAAAGTTAACAATCACATGATTTGTCTTCAGTGAATTACTTTACAACCATTATAAAATGGTCATAAAATTGGGTCTGGTCATGTGGCAACAGTCGCTGTTGTGGTTGTAAATCGAAGAGTACTTCTGGTTGTTATCCGATTACATTAGGAAGCAGGATAAAGATATTTGTGAAATTGTATTAAAAGCAGTGTGTTTGTGGAAAATAACAAGCAAACTATTAAGAATGAAAATTTGATATAAACTGAACATACTGTATTATATAAATAATATAAATATAAATAACCTTTGTTCAATTATTAAAATCTTTTTAAACATCCAAATGTTTCAATATCTCAACAGACGTTCCAAGTAAACTTAGGAGTCATAATGAAACAATCATTATGACCTCACTTTAAACAATGAGATAAGATGATTTACCACTATAAATAGTTGTTTGTTTATTAATCTTTAATGTATCCTTCTAAAATTCAGAATAGGTTTGAGCATCTTAATTGTTTTCTAGATATTTATAGCTCTAGATCAGTGGTGTCAAACTCACGTCATCATGGCAGCGTCACATGACATATTGGGACTTTTTCCCTTTTGCCAAACCGGATGTGGGCATGGCCAGCATGTGATGCATCCAGCCTGTGGGTTGTGAGTTTAACAGTCCTGCTCTAGATGATAGAATAGAATACTTTATTGGCCAAGTGTGAGTGGACACACAAAGAATTTGTCTTGGTGTAAATACTCTCAGTATACATAAAGGAAAGGTACATTCATTAAAAATCAAGAATCATAACGTACAACACTTAATGATAGTCATAGGGTACAATCAACAATCAAATCATACTAGGAAATAGCCAATATAAATTGTAAGGACACAAGCAACAAAGGAGTCATGAGAAGATTAACAGTAATAGTAGTGTACTCTTTGTAAATAGTTGAACAGTGAGGGAATTATTTGTTTAGCAGAGTGATGGCTTTCGGGGAAAAACTGTTCTTGTGTCTAGTTGTTCTGGTGTACAGTGATCTATAGCATCATTTTGATGGAAGGAGTTGAAACAGTTTATGTCTGGGATGTGAGGGGTCTGTAAATATTTTCACAGCCCTCTTTTTGACTCGTGCAGTATACAGGTCCTCAATTGAAGGCAGGTGGGTAGTAATTGTTTTTTCTGCAATCCTAATTATCCTCTGAAGTCTGTGTTTGTCCTGTTGGGTTGCAGAACCAAACCAGACAGTTATAGAGGTGCTGATGATGGACTCTATCAGCAGTTTCTTGGGCAGTTTGAGCTTTCTGAGTTGGCGCAGAAAGAACATTCTTTGTTGTGCTTTTTTAATAATGTTTTTGATGTTTGGTGTCCATTTTAGGTCATGTGATATGGTAGAACCCAGAAATTTGAAGGTCTCCACTGCTGATACTGTGTTGTCTAGCATTGTAAGAGGTGGTAGCATGGGAGGGTTTCTTCTAAAGTCTTCCACCATTTCTATGGTTTTGAGTGTGTTCAGTTCCAGATTGTTCCAGTTACTCCATGAGGCAAGTTGTATAACCTCCTGTCTGTATGCAGATTCATCGTTGTCTCGAATGAGACCAATCAATGTTGTGTCATCAGCAAACTTCAGTATTTTAACAGATGGATCATTTGAGATGCAGTCATTGGTATATAGGGAGAAGAGAAGTGGAGATAGCACACAGCCTTGGAGGGCCCCTGTGCTGATTGTACAGGTATCGGATGTGACTCCGCCTAGCTTCATCTGCTGCTTCCTGTCTGTTAGGAAGCTTATGATCCACTTACAAGTGTGTTCAGGTACTGCTAGTTGGTTTAATTTACTTAGAAGAATGTCTGGAATGATGGTATTGAATGCTGAACTGAAGTCTACAAAGAGGACCCTTGCGTAGGTATTTGGAGATTCAAGGTGTAGGATGTAATGCAGAGCCATGTTAACAGCATCATCTGTCAATCTATTTGCTCAGTATGCAAACTGCATGGGATCTAACAGTGGATTCATGATGGTTTTCAGGTGGGACAGCACAAGCCTTTCAAAGATTTTCATAACTACAGATGTTAAAGCTTGGGTGGGCAGCATCTGTAGTCATTCAGTTCCTTGATGGAGGGCTTCTTTGGCACTGGGATGATGGTAGAATGTTTGAAGCAGGAAGGAACATAGCACAAATAACACAAAGAAATGAACAATATAGCTGGAAAATGAGCATTTTCTAGCATAGGCTGTATAGCAAGGGTTAATACATTTTTTCTTGTCTGGGTCCAAAATTAAGATAAGTAGAAAAACAAACTGAAAGTAAAAGAGACAGAGATGGCTGCTGTGTTTCTTTTTCATTAAAACACTTCCAGTGTTGAGCTATTTTTCAAAAAGAAAGACATTTGGGGATGAGTAAGAAAGAAGGCAGAGAAATTCTGGAAAACAGCCATAATCCATGTCCATTTGGGACTCCTTTGTCTACAACAAATAATGTTTCTTCCTGTCTCTTCTCACTCTCAGCTCAATATGCTTCTAGATTAATATCTTGTTTCTGCAGTGCCAGAACTTTCGCATTATTAGTTAAGCCATGGTTGACAAAATGGGCAAGATGAAAACAAAGCACAGAACAGAAGTGAGAGGTATAGACTGATCAGTTTGTCTTCTTCTAGTTTCTCCTCTTCCATTTTTCTTGCAATAAATTCTATTCATCCTGTTTTGTTCAATATTGCATTCATGCTGTGTAGAATACACATAGAACTGAGTTTATTTTGTGTGCATGGTGCTGTCAAGTCTTGGAATCTTATCAGGGGTTCCTTAAGAAATTAATCTAGAAGCCTACATGAAATAACCATAAATAAATAAGTGATCTTCTGCAATGAGTAGCATAATTGTTTATTTAAATAGTAGCAGACTGAAAGGAAAGGAACTAACTGATACTTATGTGATTCTTAAGACCTGCTTTTTATATCTTTAAATCTTCTTAGCCTTTCTGATTAAATAGAGATACCAAATTTCTTGAAAGGGTTTTTTCCTTCTCTGCTTTACCCATTTCTTCGTGTGTGGGGGTGTGGGGGTGGTGTGTGTGTCTCTCTCTGTGTGTGTATGTGTGTGTATACCATGCACATGTGGTAATACACTTATTTCTTACTTAATTCAATTGTTCATTTATAAACGTGTTTCAATATTAAATGAGTAACAAATAAATGATGATTCTCAAAAAAAATATTTTAATCTAAAATAATGAAATTGTTATTTTATTTTCTCCCAAGATACTGCTATAGCTATAAGTTGTAATTATGGCTTATTTATAGAAATGGACACTAATAATTACAGTTATTAAAAGGCAGTAAAAGAACACTGATAATTAATTGCTGCTCTATAAAAAAAATACCTTATGATTCTGCAATCTTTGTTAACCCCAAGACTGTTTTGACCATCTTTTGTCAGAAAGCAACATCTGTTTCCCAAGTTTCCAGCTAGCTTTATGCTATATAGAGGTAGCCATTTGCAGATAGATGTGACATTTACTTGACATATTATATTGACATCATTAGCATTCACCTTATTAAAACAATTAAAATATTAAAACAGATTCTTTCAACATTCCAAAATCTAAAACGAGTCCATTGGACCATACTCATAAATAACTAAATAAATATTAAAAATAAACTGACAGAGATGTGCCTGAATTACTCTGCTTTGTAATACTGAAACCATTAACGAAATTCATTATATAGTCCACACTAACACAATTGAGCCATATGTGTTTTTGTTTCATGAAAATTAGAATTTGAATTAATTTGTTTTAAAGCTCTAATTCATTTTTAATTCCAGTCCAAAATTTACATCTTTATATTTTCAAAATATGATGTTTGCTTTTTGTAACTATTTTTTCATGTTCTAGTTATAGCAAGTCATTTTCCACTCTAGTTGTAAGATATCAGCTTTGGTTAGATTTATACATCATGCCAAGAGATAATGTAAATTTTAGTTTTGGTCTAGCATAGCATTGTGATTTCTATATGACAATTTATGGCTTAGAATTATTGCTGAACATGGCTAGAACAAGCATGGCATAGTACAATATATGATCCCAGCTAATGGAAAATGACATTGCCATTTAGAACTGCTGTCCTTTTCTACTGTATAGTTTTGAGAATTTTGTATACTCAGTGAGTTCTTTAGTACTGTTCCTAAAGCATTTTAAAGTGAGTATGTAATTTTAAAAAGGAGTTTTATTATTGATTAGTTTATGATATTTGTTTTACATCGCATGTGCTATAATATGAAAGAGTCATTTTATTTTGTTTTATAAGAGCATTGCCTTTCTCTAAGCATACAGTGACCCTTATGGTTGCAGATGGATGAGAATGGGTAGCTGTAGATGATTTCCATTGTTTCTATTTTTCACTAGTTTGATTAAGACAAAGTGGATAAAATTATTTATGGGATAGAAGCATGCATAGTGGGCTGCACCTTTAATTTCCCTTTTCTCTGTTAAAGGTTAATTTATTTTCCTGGTTTAGGTGAAAGTGCATGATTTCCAGAAAACAAACAAATATCTTGGAGCGATGATTACGTTATACATTTAATGAAGTCAAGAAACTGAATAATTCCATTACCCTTTCACAACATAGAATATAAAAAGCAGTGGGGGACTTTTAATACACACACATAAATGGCTATGAAGTTATTACCTTGGGGGTTAGTAATGTTATGTACAGCATAAAAATATTTTAAAAAAACCCTAAATAAATTAAAAATATCAAAAAGAAAAAGAATAAAAAACATACTTAGTTTATACCAGATTAATTGCATCTTCCCACAGCTTTCAATCCTGCCACACATGTCCTATTTCCACCCTATCCATACATTAATTAATTAATACATTGTCTTTTTTCTTTAGACTTCACATATCTTTCTTTCTTGCAGCATCTTGTGATTTATATATTTCATACACACTGCATACTAATTTTCTTTAAAAAAAACTTTAGTAAAGATTAAAAAGAAATATATATACAGTGTATAAAATACCATGTTTCATTACAAATGAAACCAATATATAAATACAAATATTGACATAAAACATATATATTTCTTATCAGCTAAGATGGTGTGATAATTTATTGAAAACGATTTTACTAATATTCATTTTCAGTTTTGGTATATGCTCTTAGTTTAACCACTTCATTTTTCAAATCCTTATCTTTTAATTTCCTGGTTTTTCTCCTTCATCCAATTGTACAATTTTTTCCAAGCTGTAGTATATTTTGAGTCCACCTTATCTCTAAGATTTTGTGTAAGTAGGTCCATTTCAGCACAGTCAAGAACTTTCTGAATTATCAAATTATTTGTTGGCATTTGGTCATCCTTCCAGCATTGTGCCAATGCAATTCTTTTTGCCTTGATTACATGGAGAATTAAGTATTTCATTTCTTTTGCATAGTCCCCTTTTAACATTCCCAACAAAAATATTTCAGCCTTAAATTCTAGTTGTACATTTGTAATTTCTTTTATCCAAATTCTAATTTTTTTCCCAGTACTTTTTACTCTTGGGACAAAGCCACCAAGCGTGAAAGAAGGTACCCCTCATTTGCTTACATTTCCAACAGGTTGGATTTAAATTTGGGCACATATTCGCTAACCTTGAAGGTGCCAGATACCACTAACACATTGGTTTTCTTTATAAACAACCGATTTTGTTATTTTATAATTTTGTTTCCAGACTTTTTCCTAATCTTCCAAATTAATGTTGTGCCCTACATTCCTTGCCCATGCGATCTTGGGCCTTTAACTATTTCTTCTGCAATTTCAAATTCTAATAGATAATTATACATTTTAGAAATTAATTTTTCATCCTTCTCCTCTAATATTTTATCTAATTGGTTTGGTTTTACCTCAATTCCAAATTCTTCTATATCTTTTTTATATCTCATCTTGAGTTGTAAATATGGCCACCACTCTATTTTATCCCTTGTTCTCTGAGTTCTTGGTTCATTTTTAATTCTCCTTGGGAATTTAGGACATCGTGATACCTAACCTTTCTTCCAGTTTCTTAGGCATTGGGGTCGATCAATGCCTCCATGATGGAAATCCATCCTGGAATCTTCATATAATGTTTATGTTGAATCTCTTTTCACACTTTTAATAATGAGCTTTGAATTACATGTCTATTAAAAGTGTGTATATTTCCAGGGTTCCACGTGAAGGCATGCCACCCCACTCTAGATCCTGCCCTTCTAGGATTAAAATTCTTTTATTTCTCAGATTGGCCCATTCTTTTATCCATGTTAAAACTATTTTATAGTATATTTCTCAGGCAGGGAGTCCAAATCCACCTCTGCATCTATTATCTTGTAGTGAATTTAATTTTATTCTTGCTTTTTTCTCTGACCAAATAAATTTCATGGTAATTTTATTCAATTCATTAAAGAACTTTTTATCTAATTTAATTGGAATGAAACAGAAATAGTATTCTTGTCAGGATGTTCATTTTGATAGTGGCAATTCTCCCTAACATTGATAATTGTAATCTCCCCCATTTTTCTAAATCCTTTTTTTATTTCTAATACCAGGTTTTTTTATTTCTAATACCAGTTTTACATAATTATCTTCTTTTACTGTTGAACATCTTGCTGTAAGCCAAATATTTAATTTTTTTAACAATTTGTATACCCATTGCTTCTACTGATTTCTTTTTTTGTTTCTCTGTTAGTTTTTTTTGTTATCATTTTGGTTTTGTCCTTATTGATTGTTAAACCTGCCACTTCTCTGTATCTTTCTGTCTCTTTAATTAAATTTGGTCCTGATTTAATTGGTTCTTCCTCAAATGCTTGGGCCTTGTATTCTTCTTGTTTAATTCTTAATCCTTTTATTTCCAAATTCTGTCTAAGTCTCTTCAACAAAGTTTCTAGTGTCATGATAAAGAGCAGAGGTGACAGTGGACATCCCTGCCTGACTCCTTTTCTTATTTCAAATGAATTTGTTGTTTCTCCATTTATTATTACCTGTGATTTTTGGCTTGAATATATTGACTCTAACATTTTTCTGAATTTATTCCCAAATTTCATCTCCTTTACTTGTTGTGTCATAAATTGCCAATTTACTTTACTGAAGGTTTTTTGAGCATCCAGAAAACTAGTACAGCCTTTTTTTCTTGATGTGCCTCATAATACTCCAGGATATCTCGTACTGTCCTTGTGTTATTTTTTAATTGTCTTGTTGGGAGAATTTTCTAATATGTAACTCATTACTTTTTTTTTTCCTGGCATTGTATGCAATTGTTACTCCTCTTAAATAGGCTTTTGTTGTGTTGTGTCCCACAAATTCTGTAAAAAGGTATGTTCTTTTGTATTTACTTCAAAAAACATTTACAATTCTTTTTTTTAATTTTTGCTAAATATTATTTATCTTTCAGAATTTGTGGGTTCAACATTCATCTCCCTCTTCATTTTGATTGGCCTTTCCATGTTACTATTAGGGGGTTATGATCTGCCCATATATTTGGTGCTATTTCTATTTGGACTATGCCTTTCATTAGAGTTTTACTTATCCACGCCATATCAATTCTGGACCATGATTTGTGGGGAATAGAGTAAAAGGTGAACTGTTTTTCTTTTGAGTTATATATTCTCCATATATCTATTAAGTTTTGTTCTTCTACCATATTAAAGAATGTTTTTGGAAGGATGTTATTTTTTTTCTTTTTTTTACTAGTACTTTGATAAACTTTTTTTTATATCCGTGACTGCATACTAATTTTCTATCAGTATCTGTAACTTTTAAAATTATTATCCCATCTTTATCATACATTTTGTATAGTCAAGTACACAAATTCATCCATTCACTTTAATACAAGGTATTTTGGAACTCCAGAAGTTGGTAACAAATTTGGTAAAAATTGCATAAATATATCATTAATATTTAGATTCATGCTTGATCTTCATTTTTTCAATGCAGGTAAAAAGCGATTTGGTGAGCAAATCTAGAAATTAAAATGTTGATTAATAGATTGTCCTGTGACCAGCTTGACAACTGACTTGCACATACAGTGGTTATAGAGTCCTGAAATAATGTAATCATGAGTTGTGATATTCTCTTCAACTTCCCACAAGCAAAATCAACGAGAAAAGCAATTGGGAAGATTACAAGTACTCTCATCTATGCAACCTCCTGGCCATTCATGCACCCTCATTGCCATCCACATACTTTTTCCAAGCTGCATTTATGCTGTACATTTCCCACTACTTACACATCCTTATGTGCCTTCCCCACATACCAACATGTCATGTTCATGTCTCTTTACCACCCTCACACCTATCAATGGCTTCCCATGCATCTCTGGCATATATACCCTCTTCAGCCACTCTTTCTTCTTCAAATGCCCATCAGCACTTGGCACAGCCATCCCAAGTCCCACCACAGTAGTTCCCAGACACCCCTTGGTCTCTCTTTCATCCAGAAGCAGTCACTTACCTGCGTGCCTCCTGGGACTTACAACCTTCCTTACTGACTTGGACTATTGGATGCTGGCAGAAAGTTACAAGTAAATCCTTGCCTAATGATCCATATCTTTACTTAACAACCACAACAGGAATTATAGGGTTTGCTGTTGCTAAGCAACACAGTTATAGGATATATCACTTCATGACAGAAATTCTGGTTCCAATTCCTGTCATAACTTAAGTGACTGTGGCCTTCTATATTGCAGCAATGTCTGTAGAAGCAATTGTTTTAAGGTAATTGTTTACAGTCATACTAGGTACAATGGGTCCTAATAAAGATTCTACACAGAGATCCTGATCTAAAGAACACTTCAGTGAATATGCTATATATGTTGCAGGCAAAATTACTTTTACAGCATAGCCATGTGAGCAAAATTGAATACTTTAAGGAATTATACCTATTTTCATACTTAACAATAAAAAAAACAAGGTTTGTAAGTAAGACCTGAAGAGACACATTTCAGGCAATTTTATATGCCTGAAATCAGTTGTGCAATCAATGTAAAGGAAATTGAGGGATGGAGGGATTGGTTGTAATTAGTGTAAATAATTCTACTAAAAAAATTGATAGTACTTAATTTTATTAAAATCTTCCTCTACAAGCCGTTGCTGTATTTAAAACTTGGAAAAAAAGAATAATGCAGCATTGTCAGGAACTGATTAACAAGGCTGGATGTTTGTGTCGTTTAATAAAAATGTGAACACACGATAATAAAGCTAGGGGGAAAAATCTTAATTTGGAAGTGATAGGTGAAAGCAAATTTCTGACATTACATATTTAAATTCCAGTCTTGAATCATGTGTTAGATTTTAAAATATGCAAAGAATTTTAACTTAACTTTTTCTTCTTTAATTATGTGATGGCATCCAATTATTTAGCAGCCTGTTTTTAGGCCAATTCTGTCTCTTTTGTCTGTAGACCGTGTCTTATTGTTCATAAAGCATTAAGAAACTGATGAACAAAAAGTTCTGCTCAATTTATCTTTATTACTAAACACATCAGCAAGAGATTCAGTGGACATCACTCAATGGACTCCATAAAATCCTTACACATTATGCCCTCCTCACCATTCAAACTCCCTTAAACTATTCAGAAACATGCATGGAAATGACAATCCTATTTTTAAGGAAATATCTCTGCACTTTGCAAGTGTAACTGAAACCTTTGAAGCATTTGTTAACACACATCCATGCACTCCCTATTTGAGATTTACTATTTGAATAGTAAGGTTTATACAGCAAAATTATATTTTTCTTTTCCTTTAGTAGTATTTGTGCATATATATGCCTGCATTTATTCAATGTTTAGACTACCTCTTTAAGCAGCAAAAAGACAATAGATAAAAATACCGTAGTTCTGTAATGCCAAATATTAAAAAAGCAAAAAAAGAAGTGAAAAGTCTTAAGCTGTTAAAAAGTTGATATATCGTGCAATGAAGTAAATTACTTGTAATTTGTTTGCAAAATGGTTTTGAATGAACTCACATCTCTTGTTATGCTAGCACAGAAAAGGATCAATCATACAAGCAGGCAGACTTTAATTCTTACTTTGACACTTGTCTCTAGAAGCAACAAAATAGCCTTCCATTTCAGAGAATATATGAAATGATTTTCCAGAATGTATGTGATAGTTTTAAGGAAATATTCCTTATTATCAATAGGCTGCCACACTGCCACAGTCAGTAGAAGGATCTGCTCCAGAGACTGGATGGTCATCTGTCAGAGATGCTTCAGTGAATCCAGGAGGGGTTTGTATGTGATACCTTCTAAGGCCCTTTTCAAATATATGATTCTAACACAAAGCTTTGTCCCTTCACAATCTGATTTTTCTCTTCTACAACATTGGAAAGACAAATTGACATCTGATATGAACCTGTGAGTTGCCAGTATGTGTTCTGAACTGGGCTTTTTTGATAGGAAAGCTAGGGAGAGGAATTTTTGAATGGTTTCAAACTGCCTTTTCTATTGCATACATTCAAAATATTTCTTACCATTTCTAAGTTTATATGTTAAATGGTTTTCTCAAAATTAATATTGATTATTTTTAAAAATATTTTTAAATATTTATACTATTTTTAATTAATTATTTTTCCTCATGTTGTTATTGCTGTTGCTATTTCATACTATAAAATAAAACACACAAACAGAAACAAATTATCTGACAGTTTTTGATGGTCTGGATTAGAATTATGGGAAATATTATTCCAACATAACTATCATATTTTGGATATGTGAATATACTAATTCTTTGACATGTTTATAATGCTGGAAAAAGGTAGGAGGGAGAGGAATAAAAAGGACAACCAGCAGCAAGAATGATTGACTGAATTACAGTGGTGATTGGTGTACTATATGAAGGGTCAAGATGAGAATAT